TGGTGCGGGGGAAGCTTTGGCTACTCCCTTCTTCAAAACAAGCATCTGCTGACAGCTCTGCCCATGCAGGCTGTGCTCTGGTCTCCTACAGGAGTGCCTGTGGATGCTCCCCAGCTGACAGCAAGCTTAGGCAGGCACTGGACCACCCATGTCCTCAAAAAGCAAGCTAAGACTCTGGCGTTGCAGCCTGAAAAGCAGGAGCAAGCCCTCAGTGAAGGCACAGGCTCAGGCCTGGATGACAGAAACCAGAGTCAAGATGAAACACATTTCCCAGGAACATCACCAAGTCCAAGTGTCTGTGCCCAGTACGTGCCCAGACACCTGCAGCTGCCTCAAACACCCAAAGCCATAGAAGATGAAGGCTCTTGCCTGGCATGGTCCTCACAGGGGGCCTGATGAGACTCTGCAGCTCACTTGCATACCAGTCTCCATAATTTGTAGAGCTCCTATGGCTTCCTCCTAAAAGGTCCATGCAAGCCCAAATGTTAATCATAGAATGCTTTGGGTTGGAAGGGACCTTTTGAGGTCATCTAGCCCAACCCCCTCGCAGTGAGCGGGGACATCTGTAACTACATCAGGTTGCTCAGAGCCCCATCCAACCTGACCTTGAAGGTTTCTAGGGATGGGGCCTCCACTACCTCTCTAGGCAACCCGTTCCAGTGCTTCACCACCCTCATTATAAAAAATTTCTTCCTTATATCCAGTCTAAATCTATTCTTCTTCAGTTTAAAACCATTACATCCTACATGTTAAGTTCACTTCCACACTCCACCAGTCCCCACATCAGGTGTCCAGCCTCCCTCTCCAGCAAGCAGAAGGAGAAGATCACCTCTAGGAACGAGTGACCCCCTGGAAGCATTTATTGTCTTTCTCTTGACTGCAGAGAACATCTGGACTTCTGACTCGTAGTCAGCCAGGGAGAGTTTATGAAACTCCAAGGTGTGATTCAGGGACAAGAGGAGAAGGAGGTTATCACCACTCTGAATTCCCAAACATCAGATACTGTAAAGCTAGGGGGGAGAAGGGGAAACAACTAGCAAAAAAAAAACCACAACACACAAAAAAACCCAAACCCAACCCCCTGCCCCCCCCCCCCAAAAAAAAACCAAAAAACCCCAAAAAACAACGAACATCACAACACACCATCCTCCAGGACAAGCAAATTAAGAAAATAAAAATCAATCTACTCCCCAGCAACGGCCCAAACCCAAACAATCTGTGCCAGAGGAGCTCTGTACATGTTTGCAAATCATGATTGCAGCCAAGCCCCCAGGTTGCACGGATGGTCCTGGCTTGGCTCCTGTACGAACAACAGGAACAGAAGCGCATCAGGTTCCTTAGAGCAGACCAGGCCATGGAGCCAACAGGGCTGAAACCAAGCCAGGGACTGACCTTGTCTGTGCACACACTTAGAAACAAGGGGCAGCTTCTGTGACAACATGTGTTTAAAACCACGTCCCCGGTACATGCATGTATGCCAGCAATGGAATGAGAGAACACCACACTTATCCAAAGTAAAATCTGCTCCAGGCTAAAGCACAGAGGGCTATTCTTGAGGCTTCCCCTCTCCAAAGCAAAAGAGGAGCATTCCTTATTTTCCCCTGTTTATTTAAAAAGCCCAACACACATTCCTGGGCACCGGCCTATCCTAAGCCAACCATGGGATACGAGCTTCTACACTGTAAATCCCAGGAAGAAACTGGCCTAACTTGGGAACGGCCTAATAGTTGCTACCTTCTAATGGTTGCTTAGTGGTCTGCAAAGTGCACCACAAATCTCAAGAGACTTGTTTTCACATCGTTAAAGCCAGCCTCAGAATTGACCTCCATGCTGATAGCTTCAGCGTAAAAACTGAAGGGCTGTCCAGAGAGCTACTGCAGGAGCACATCAGAGGCATGCAGCCACGCTGAGCAGGTCCATCGGAGCCATACCTGCTCAGAGAACATGAACTCCCAGGCTCCATCACTTCTCCCCAGCCACACCTCACCTGCTTAAATCTTTGATCCCACAGGGTACGAAAACATGGTCGTAGCAACCAGAGACACGCTGGTCGACTCATCAAGAAGGGGGGGGCACCACCATTATGCCTCAGGGATGCAAAGCCATTTTAAAGCTCCTAGAGAAAGATTAGAGAAATGGAAGCTGCAACACGAGCGAGTTTGCATCCAGGCAGCATCATGGAAGAAGTCTGTTGTTACCTCTGACATCTGGTCACTATAAGGCACTGCAATGCAGTCACTTTTTAACTTCACCAGGAAGGAGCCCCGCAACACCATCTAAGCCTTTAAATGTGGAACACAGCAGTGTTTGAGAGCAGAGTATTTGTTTCTCCACCACAAACGAGAGCAAATAAGTTTTTTGTGTGGGATAGGGCAACTGGACATGGCATTTTAGGGATCACATAAAGAATTTCTCAATTAGAAATCAAGCATTTAAGTATAGCTTTCCCAGTCCTATTTTCTACTCCAGGCAGACAGAGAAGAAAACAACTAACCCTTTGTCTCTGCAGAAGTAAACTTTCAGTCTCCCATACACATGTGAAAGAATTGCCTAGGAAACAAGCACACAACAATGTTGTGGTCAGAGTTTAAAACTGAAATCTTCTTCAACCAGAAAGCTGCAGGTTGCTTTTGCCCCTTTCACAAAGGAGCTAAATCCAGCGGCACACAGTAGACAGAGCTGCACAGCAGAGCCTCCCCCTTATCTGTTATTTTTAGCAATTTAGTCTGACAACGCCTGACAACTAAACATGCTGAATATAGCAGGAGAGAAGGGCACTATCAGATATTATCAGAGAAAACACACAGCAATAATCACTTTCTCCACCCCTAACTAAGAATCAGTTTTCCATGTCTTTATAACACCACAGTTTGTTCTTTTTAAAATGCCACATTTGAAAACAGAATCCATCTAGCCCTACAGTGGAAACGGATAACATTTCCTGAAACAAAGCATTGTTCCACCCCTCACATATCATGTTTCCTTAAAAACAAGGGAAGAAAAACATTACTTGGTTTTTCTCCTAATACTGCACAAACATTGCTGAGCTAAAAAGAGTCTGTGCTCATCCCTTTAGAATGCTTTCAAAATAGATTTAACACATACCCCTCGTACTGTGAAACACAACAAGAATTTGATAGTATCAGAACTGGAAAAATCCAATTGCTACTGCTAAGCAGGACTCTTCCCATGCCAATATGTGAGTGAGGCTATGCCATCAATCTCTGCAAGATTCAAGCAGGTTTTTGTAAGCCTCGCTGGCACAGCCTTTAAGCAGGCATGTGTATTTTGCCAGCAAGCCTGGACAGTCTATTTGGATTCCAAAGGATTATACACAAGTTGTAAAGTTAAGAATGCTACATATACACATATATGTATTTTCGCATTCATACCTTAGCTTTAACAACAAGAGTAAAACTACCTTGCTTTTTCTGCAGAGTAATTGGCAGGCTATACATTTGCCACCTCATACACATCCATACCTCCTTTGGTGTTTTCAGAACACAGTTTCTCTCACTAAGTACATCCAATGCATATTCCAGCCAAGCCTTATTTTTAGAGCCTGGTAAAAAAGACAGGTCTCGTTCTCCTTGCTGCTTTGCCATGCAGTGAGCAGCAGGGAGGACCAAACTAGCAGTATCACATCAATTTTGTGATGCTGCCTTGAAAAAGGCAATGCACTGCTTCAACAGCGGGGAAACCCGAGAGAGGGGAGTGAGGGAAAGGGAATAACAGCAGTCATGCATTGCAGTGGAGACTATCAGAGGAGGCAGAGAAGAAGCTTTCAAACCAGATGCAAAACGTCTCACTGTTTTCAAAGTTCACTTTGACAGCTGTGAATGTCAGAAAACTCAGCTCACATCTCTGAAGCAGGTTAAAGTCCACATTTTCATGAATAGTCAGCACTCAGGAGCTCTCCTTGCTATGCAGCTGGATGGATTTACAGAAGAGTTCAGCAGTGAACCCAGCCCTCTGTGCTGCGCTCCTCTGCAAACAGCACCATGCTTGCAGTGAGAGCATTTCTCAAACTGAGGCTTGTATCAAAAATACACATTTCACAATACCTTGGCAATAGCATTCTAATAGCAAGGCATAACTGTCTCAAGCTCACACTACATGAGTAACCAGATCAGCCACACAGGAGGGATACTGGAGGATTACTCTGACAAGCTTGATTCAACTATGCAAAGTGAGAAATGTAAGTAATAGGGTAGTTAACAACATAAAATATAAACCTAAGCTTTAAAATCCTTCCAGTGTTAACGGATGGAAGGAAGTTTTAACCTATCTTGGTTTGATAATTATTTTACAATGATGCAGTGGAAGCACAAGGTCACAAAGTTTCACATTCTTTCCTGCTTCTGTCACAACTTGTTTTCAGGACAGCAAAATCCCCTACTCCTGTGGTAAGTGCTCTCTGACTTGGACTCAGGTATTTCCACTGAAATCTCAGTTTCCAGCAGTTGTCAGTCTAAGAGCTTGTCCTCTTCCATGTGGAATCCCAAGCCTCAAGGAAAATCCTTCTCACAAAACTGCCAGCCAGCTCTAAGTAGAACGATGGACTGAAAAGAATTGCCTAGAAAATTGTCTAAGAAAAGATGGACTTGAATGTTCACTTAAACTGTTGAAAGTTTTGGCAATCTGAGCCCTACTGTCCATAGTTAAAAAGAAAAAACAACTCATGTGGCAACCACCTTTCCACTCCCACCACCTTTTGAGACAGTCACTATTGCTGGGAACTTCAATTCAGTGGCCATAACCAGAGACTCAAGCAACAGAGAGCTACGAAGCAGAAAAACACATCTGCGAAGCAGCCAGCTCTCAGGCTTTTTGTACGATGCCAAAGGTTATAATTTGGGGGGAATTCTATCCATTCTGCTGAACTCAGCAATCGGAAAGTTCAGGAGGTAAGATCATTCCCCACCAGGAGGAACAGGAAGAAACTGAGATGCATAGCTGAAGGGCACAGTAGCCAAAAAGCTGACCACAGCCTGATGGACCTGGCAGTAAGGGACCTGATGGAAGGTTTGTAAACAGAGGCTGTCAACCACACTCCAATCACTTCCAAATCCAAACATGAAGTTCTCCAACCTCAGTTGCAGGACTGTCTTTGTGCCGAGCCACTGGCATCTGGGACAGTTCCAGAGTAGCCAGGATACAATCACTTTTATCACATTACTATAAAAATGACTGTGCCTTGTCTGCATTAACACCACCTTAAATATATAGCCTATCCACAGACCACTTGTTTTCCCTGTGCAGAAAAAGTTCTCATGGCCAGAAACACAAAACTCCTTAGTGTCTGGCACAAAAAACACTCCATGCAACACAACATATCAGCTTGCCCTACAGCTCCCCAGGCAAGCTGAGTTTTAAGAAGGAATTAAAAAAATACAAACTCTACTTCTGCTTTAGTGTACGTAGGAGACAATGGAGACAAAACTGCACAGGTTCGAGTAGGTTTGAGCGCTGACTTCTTTTATTATTCCTCCTTGTCCCTGTTAGGCTGGTCTCCACACTCACTTTCTCCAAAACACTTACAAATGAGATAAGCAGCTTGACACAACTCAGTCTTTGCTTTCTCTATCATTCCCCAAAAAACAAGGAACAGGGTTTTGTATTAATTAGGTTTTAGGGACATTAAGAAAAAGAAATACACTAACAGCCTTGGGAAAGTACATTTTTAACATCTTCTTCAAAGAACTGTAAGCTGTACACATAGCCACTAGAAGATAGTCAAGATTCACTAGATAACTTGTTTGAACACTGGAACTTGCAGAGACACTACTTTATATTTCCTAGATAGTCTTCTCTGCCTTGAATACTCCAACTAGATAAATGCAAGAACACAGAAGTGTTCTGACCACATTGTCAAAACAAAGCCCCACCTCCCCCTAGATCCGGTCTTCAACAGCAGCCACAAGCAGATGCCCAGGGCAGAGTGTAAGAACAGGGCAGGCGTATACAGTACTTCCTCCCCATGCTTTCCCAGCCTCCAGACATTTTTAGCCCAGGGACTTCCTGAGCAGGATGCCATTTCTACATATTTGGTAATTCTCAATGGATTTCTCTTCCATGAATTTGTGCAATTGTCCTGAGCCAGTGTAAACTTTTAATATCCACAGCAGTGGCAGAGTTTTACATCACCTATTGCTGCATATAACCACACAAACATCCTTTTGCCAGTTTTAAGCCTTGCTCCTACTAATCTCATTTGAATCCCTCACCCCCAGTTTTCGTATCAGAACAAAAGCAAACAATCAATCCCTACTGGGGTTGTAGATCTAGCAAAGAAACCAAGTGACATGAATTACTTGTAAGTTAGTTGTAACAGGCACTATGTTTCACCTAGTTAAAATCTTTCAGAATGAAAAGTACCAGATAAAAAACACAGGATGCAGCAAACAGTTATCTTGTTGACCTTCTATGTTCTACTCTCATCATCATTACCTGCCAAAAACTTACCTCCAATTCCTTAATTTTCTCTTCAGCTATTCTCTGTTTTTCTAAGAGCTGATTATGAATCACTCCTTTAGACTGAAGAATAAACCTAAAGTGAAAAAGAAGAGACAGACAACCATTGGATATTTTTTACATCTGTTATACCCCTAGCTGCACAAAGAGTTAAACTACAGTGACCTCTACAAAGTATGCATCCTCAACGTGTGTGTTCTGGACAGAGGCAGAAAAAATTGCTATGATATGTTTGCTCACACAAACCACTGGGCTGGCCTCAAACGCTTGCTCACTCATCTCACCCATGGTTTCGGAGGAAGAAAATGAATGCACACAGATCTCCCTCTATCATTCAGTGTCCTTAAATGATTTGAAAGCACTTCTTGTGCACAGATAGCATGGGGAGTCTGTCATCACATTCCCTTCAAAGGGATCTAAATCAGTTGATGGCATACAGTCAAGGAAGCTTCTTTCAATGGATAAAAGCCATTCATTAACATTTTAGTGCTCACAAGCTAAACAAACCTGCACAATAAAAACAAAGCTTTCTACAGAGAAAGGCTGAGAGAGTCAGGGGTGTTCAGCCTGGAGAAGAGAAGGCTCCAGGGAGACTGCACTGAGGCATTTCAGTATGTAAACGGGGCTTATAAGAAAGATGGAGAGAGACTTTTTACCAGGGCCTGTAGTGACAGGACAAGGGTTTTAGACTGCAAGAGGGCAGGGTTAGATTGGACATACGGAAGTGCTTTACGATGAGGGTGTTGAGACACTGGGACAGGTTGCCCAGGGAAGTTGTGGATGCCCCATCATTGGAAGTGTTCAAGGTCAGGCTGGACAGGGCTTTGAGCAACCTGATCTAGTGGAAGATGTCCCTGCCCATGGCAGGGGGTTGGACTGGATGGTCTGTGAAGGTCCCTTCCAACGCAAATCCTTCTGTGTATCATCATACAAAGCCAGGTGCTTCCACCAGAAACACAGAGCCATGGTACACCTGCATTTACTTGAGCTTTCACAGCTCCCACTGCTCAGGGCTTGGCTTTAACACACCCCCTCACTGACCTCCAAATTCCCACGCTTTCTACATTCAGAGGGTTTTTCTTTGGGGTAGGAAGTAGTCATTTTTATGACCACTGTAAAATTGCAGCCACTGGTTTCTACTTGTTCTGGTTTTTAATTGCCAAAGAGATTTGAAAGATGCATCCGTAACATCTCAGTCACAGCAATCCTGCTCGTCAGCATGCAAAAAGCTGCCCAACTTGCTCAGAAAAGCTTCTGAAGGAGCGCCAGCATCCAAAGCAGCTCTCCAGCACATAGCACTGGCATTCCACAAAGAGGTAAAGGACAACTAAGTTCAAATGAAATTTAGGAACCCTCCATGGTTGTTTTTCATCCTTCCAGACATAAAGAATGTACAAGCCACAGATTTGCCCCTTCCCTGCTTAGAAAGTCCCCCAGAGGATTTAGAAGGAGCCTTCATAGGTCATACGAACGAGGTCAAGGCCTCCCTCCAGCACCAACTAGGGTTAATGTCTTCCTACCAGGTGACACAAACTCAGGCTTGAACAGTTAAAATGAGCAGCTTTAGACAGGGCAGAGTGCATTCCCCATCTGCTATACAAAAATCCAAAATCAGTTTGTAGCAACATCTCCCATTACAAATGGCATTATTAGCATGTTTGCTCAGGGCCTGGTAAACACAAATGCAGATCTGCCACTTGGCTTGAAACCCAGCATATTTGGCATCAGCAATGCAACAGCCAAAAGGAAAACTACCTGCTACATGCATTCCTGAAATGCATGGGAGCAAAACTGCTATTAATTATAACAGGTTTGCAATTTAAACTCTCTTTGGTGCTGCTATTAACTGCACTTCACAATTGCTTCCTCCTCCTTCTCCTACTTCTCTCCCTTGTTCCACTTTACCTCCTTTTTTCTACAGTAACTTCTACTGTATCTTTTACATTGCAATTTTCTAAAATCTCTCCTTGTTTCTTCCCAGTATCAGCTCATGCTTATTACTGGTGTCATCTTTGTTCTATATCTGCTCCTGTTCTTTACAACACAGCTCACTCATACTCTCTTTGTCCCCTCAATCCCCTCCTTTCCATTAGGTGCTCCCACAATCCACTTTCACACAGTGGTAATGTTTTCAGGTCCCAGCACATACCAGCCTGCTGAAATAAAATGCAGGTTTTGCTCAGTCTTGTGAGAATCAAGTCCACGGCCTCCCTTCTAGAAAAGAGAAGTTATTTACATTGCTATTAGATGAAGAGCCTGGATCCAGCCAGAGAGGAGCTACTTTTCAGGACCACCAGCAACCACATATTTCTGATGGTCTTACCTTCAGCCTGCAATACCAGAAGAAACAAACATTAGCCTGTAGATTTTGGGGTGAAGACTAAAATTTTGCCTTGCTTCTGCAGCAGCTGCCATAGAATGATAGAATGGTTCTATGATTCTATGAATTGTTCAGGTTGGAAAACACCTTTAAGATCATCCAGTTCAACCATTAGCCTAACACTACCAAGTCCACCACTAAATCAATTAAGGGTAGAGTAATAATTAATTGCATGCTTCCTGTCTTGGTGGCTGGATTATTTTTTAATGAAAGTAAAAAACTAGGAATCATTAAGGTTAGAAAGGACCTCTAAGATCATCATTCCAACCATCAACCCAACACCACCATGCACAATAAACCATGTCCCAAAGTGCCATGTCTACCTGTTTTTTGAACACTTCCAGGGATGGTGACTCCACTACCTCTCTGGGCAGCCTGTTCCAATGCCTGACCACTCTTTCAGTAAAGAAATTTTTCCTAATATCCAATCTAAACCTCCCCTGACACAGCTTGAGGCCATTTCCTCTCATCCTACTCCTAGTTACCTGGGAGAAAAGACCAACACCCACCTCACTACAACCTCCTTTCAGGTAACCGTAGAGAGCGATAAGGTCTCCCCTCAGCCTCCTCTTCTCCAGACTAAACAATCCCAGTTCCCTCAGCCACTCCTCATAAGACTTGTGCTCTAGACCCTTCACCAGCTTCACTGCCCTTCTCTGGACATGCTCCAGCAACTCAATGTCCTTCTTGTACTGACAGACCCAAAACTTAATGCAGTATTTGAGGTGCAGCCTCACCAGTGCCGAGTACGGGGGACAATCACCTCCCTGCTCTTGCTGGCCACACTATTCCTGATACAACACAGGATGCTGTTGGCCTTCCTGGCCACCTGGGCACACTGCTGCCTCATCTTCAGCCAGCTGTCAACCAACACTCCCAGGTCCTTTTCCGCCGGGCAGCTTTCCAGCCACTCTTCCCCAAGCCTGTAGCATTGCATGGGGTTGTTGTGACCGAAGTGCAGGACATGGCACTTGGCCTTGGTGAATCTCATACAGTTGACCTCAGCCCATCGATCCAGCCTGTCCAGATCCCTCTGTAGAGCCATCAGTAAAAAATCAAAGCTGCAAGAAGCCATCAGTCCTTTCTCACATCACAGCTTCCTTGAGACTGTGTGTGTATATGAATGTTTCCTTAATTATTTCCCTTTTTTGTGGGGGCAGCAAAGAAGAACAGAATACCTTCTCGTTTGCTTCCCCAAATTGTATAGCAAGATTGATCATTTTGGTTTCACTGATGCCCCTGGTCTAAGAAACAAAGTTAAACACCCACACAGCTTGATCAGTTTTCCCCTTGCTGCAGCTGGGAAGATCCCTGCTGGGCTACAGGCGCTGAGCAATCCCAACTGGCTGAGAACCACTATGGGTACTAAAACCTTTGAACAAACAAGCGGCTGACTTCACTTCTATTCTGCAAATGTCAACCGCAGTCATAGGGGAAAATATCCTCCCTCCCACCCTCCTGCAATGCTGTGGCAGACATGCGACAGCAAATTAAAATTGGATGGCCGAAGTTAGCACTGACAAGACTTATGCGGGCAGCTGGGCGCAAATACAACCACTCCAATTTTATTTGTCATAAAATAGTGGGCTAGAACCTGTGTCCATTCACATGCTGGCTCAGAAGCAGATCAAACGTCCCTGACTTGGCCAGCAGCATCCTTCAGAAGGTCTTCACCAGTACCGGCTTCAAGCCACCCATTTTAATTCCCTGCCACAAGACCATTAAGCCTTCATCCTGAAGTGCACAGGTGCTGCCATGTAAGCTGTCAAAGGCCAGGTTTTTTTGAAAGTTGAAGCTATAAATCCACATCCACAGTTAACTATTTAAATCTGTGGCTTCACTTTCCAGCATAAGAAGGACTCAAAAAACTCATCAGTGTTTTAGCTTCTAGCTTGGGATACACACATTATGGAGATCTTGGCCAACGTTTTTACTTAAGGAAATAGTGTGGTTTATGGCAGCACCTGCAAAAAGCAGAAGCTTGTTCTGCTCATTAGGTAAGAGGTGCTGCAGGGCACTTATAATAAACCTGAGTTTAAATTTAATCTGGATTTCATTTGTCCAATTACCCTAAGTAAAACACCAACTTGATGACCTTTTTTTCTTTTTTCACCAAGCTGGAGAAATAGGGCAGTATCATTCTGCTACCTGGTTTTAGTTAAATGTCATTATTTTTATTAAAAATTAAAAATTATGAATTTTTAAACTCATGAAAGAGCCATGGGAGGTTCTGAGGACTTAGTTCTTCCCTAAGTGAGTTTGTGAACAAGCCTTTCAAATACATGAACTTCATTCACTCCCTGATGGTACCCCACCAGCTGAGAGCTGGCCCCACAGAGTCACCACATCACAGAGCTGAGGAGACACTTTCTGCTCTGTGACGCTGAGCTTGGCAGATGACGTGACTAACACCAACTCCTTAGCACATATCAGCACCAAAGAGCTACCTCCACAGACCACTCTGCTGGAGTCCACCACAGGAGGCTCCAAGCTCCAAGAGTTTGTACGTTGAACTGGGATGGTTTTTAAGTATTGATAGTCCACAGAAGACAAGCAGCAAACCAAATCCTCTTCCAGGTAAGTGAGTTCACTTGTGTCCACCTTCTCTCAGTGAAACATCACAGCACACACTAATAGATCTTATCAAACATGACACCTACACTATCAAACATGAAATGATTCAGAAAAAAGTTCAG